GTATTACAACTACTACAGTCTTCCTCCCCAAGATGTTTTGGAAACCACTCCATTTTCATGCGTTCAAGACGCCTTGCATCAACAATCCACTCTACCATATATCCCCAACGTCCAAGGTTTCGATGCGGGAGTCGTCGACCTAAGCTTTCTGGCGCCAGATGAAAGATATATTGTCGAGTCAAGGCTGGAAAACATCAAGTGGAAGTTTATTACAGTGGGATATGCGATGTACTGGAAGCCCATGACCATGTCGGGACTGGCAATGAAATTGAAGAGGATGCGAGAAAAGCACAAAGTTCTGGAGCATATCATACCAGTGAAGCCCCATGGAGGCGTGAAAGCTCCATAGACGCTATGGAGTGATCTGCATGAGACTGGAAATGGAATGTAGCAACAAGCTAGTAGCCGCAATCCGCAGGGACCGCTGGGAAACTGGCGGCTTATAGATTTTACCACATATCAATACATTGCTGCAACAGAGACAGATCAACATGTTGTGTCAAAGGCCCATTTCACTTCAATACGTGAGTCGAGACCAATGCGGCTCCAACGTCTCAAGTAATATGGAAGTAAAGCATCAATACCAGGCACCAAGCACCTATGCATTTCCGCAATTAGTTCGCTGCCGGTCAAACCCTATCTGCCAGGGTTGAGGAGTGACACAGTTGAGCACGAAGCTGATGTGCCTTGATCTTGATCCCCAGTTACTACTAAAAGGGAGACTAGCGATCAGAGGACCTTTAAAATTTGAAATGATATACTTGCCCTCGCAATTCTACCACCAGCCCAGCGACATGATCACACTATAGTTGATATTAGTTACATAGTGGAAAGCTTAGCCATGAAGAACTCGCTGGCTAGTGCTAGGAGCTCCGCATCGTGCAAGATAAGGAATTGGTCCGCAACCTAGCACTGTGGTGCTGGATTACCGTGCATGCCAAAGCATTTTATTCTCGTTCCGAAGTGTTCAGGAGCTGCTCGTCGCGGACTGTCGTGGGTGAGAAACGACTGCATGGTGGGTACTTATGTTGCGCAACCGGAGGGCCCCGAGTTGCTTCACTGATTCAACGGTCGCGTCGAACGCTTACTGAGTCTCATTAAGAGCATTTAGGTTAAGATGAAAGCCGCCACATATCGCGCGAGGTGAAATCCTAACAAATCAGCTGTACGAATAAAACAGCCGGATATACATAATTGAATCCGAGAATGATACCATGTATTCATGCAATGAAAAAGGATTAGGGAATGAGAACATTGCTCTTGTTGACAAAAAGAGCCATAGGACATCTGAGTCAGAACACTAGCCAACAATAGAACGAAGATATTTCAGATTAACGTATACCTGTAAATTTGGCTGCTAATATGATCCTAGGGTCACTTCAACTGTCGATAAATACTTGCATGCCGTTGCTAAGCTCAACTTTCCACCCAGAATCCTCCCATATATATCTCACCATATGACGACTCGCCGAAATCCCCCGAAGGCTTTAAAGGGTATGAAGTTTTGGCTATCGGAGAGCGCAAGAGGGGTTGAAGGACTCGAGATTAAAATTCACCATCATGGAGGCAAAATCTATAAGAACTTACAAGAGGAAATCTACGTTGTTTGCTTACCAGACGAACGACAAGAATTGTGGAGATTCCCAGACGGAAAGAAGAGTAGCCCGGTTCGGAGAGCTTATCAAACTGGCAAAACATTTGTAGAGACTACCTCTTTCAATTCTTTAACTAACGGCATCGAATCATGGAAACCTACTGAGTTCATCCCGCCGGTATCTTCAAAAAAGACTGAACGAAATAATTCAGTTTCTGTGGAAAGCAAATCACCCTTGACCCTCGACACTATATCCGTCTCAGATACATCTACGCCGAAAGAAAATGAAGAAAGCCGTACTGAAAGGTCTACAACGCCGAACATTTCAAAAGTACTTCCGCCAACGGAAACAGCTGTTGAAGAGCGGGCTTCACTTTCCAATTCAACTGTAGAGGGCTTGGAAGATGTCCAAGAAAGGCTGCAAGACATAAGGGCGGTCCTTGTCAATCAGAGCGTCAGAACAGCCGCAGAGAACAGGTCATGTGTACAGGCCATCGACTATATTATTAAGGTAAGCTGCGATTCCCATTYTWATCATCTCCAAGCTCAACTGCGACAAGGTCATGAAGAGGATCGAGGTAGTGCCAGAATAAAGTAAACRAYGTCCAGATCAGCCCTTTGACATGAGAGTGGTCGCCGGCACCATTTTAGTGTAGTTTTGCGAGCAGGTAGTATCACCAGTCTACTCAAGCTGATCGGCGATATCATGTTG